GCCGGGACCATGACCTGAGCCGAAGGCAGTCGCTTAACCAACTGAGCCACCCAGGCGCCCAGGATTTCCTTCTTTTAAGGCTGAATAATATTCCTGTGTGTGTGTGTGTGTGTGTGTGTGTGTGTGTGCGCATGCGTGCATGTGCGCACATGCCACATTTTCTTTATCCACTTATCCATCAATGGACATGTAGGTTGTTTCTATATCTTGGCTATTGTGAATAGTGCTGCAAAGAACATGGGGTTGTAGATATTCTCTTTGAGATACTGATTTTGCTTCCTTCAGACATATTCTCAGAGGTGGAATTGGTAGATCTGGTAGTTCTAGTTTTAATTTTTTTTGCACAACCTCCATACTGTTTTCCATAATGGCTGCACCAATTTACATGCCCACCAACAGTATGCAGGGGTTCCCTTTTCTCCACATTCTTGGAAACATTCATTATCTCTTGGAAACTTCGCTATCTTCAAAGAATTTTACACCCAAAAAGTTTTTCAACGAACCTTTTTCTTCAAGTCAGCATTGCAAACCACCCCTCCCCCAATACCAGCTTGTGGGTAAAAGAAATCTCCTCAAAGTTATACAACAAGCTCGTTGCTAGAAATTCAACAGAGTGCGATGTTTTAGTTCACCAGTAATTTTGCTCTATAATATTTAAGCTTATGAGAGAAAATAAGCTTTTGCATTTCCTTTGTGCAATTTTTAATCTGGAGGGAATAAGCCCCTTGCCTAAGAAAGTACCTCTCCCGTGCACCAAGGTGAATAGACACCTGGCATTTCTCTAGCAAATGGTAGTATTTCTTTCTATATTAAAAGATAAGGCTGGAAATGCAAATATCCTGGGGAGAAGTAACATTTACTAAATTATACTCGTGCTATCCTGCAAATTATTGATAGGAGCATTTCTCCCCAATGGGGGTTGAGATATCAAGGAGCAGGAGAGAACAAGAGAGATCCAGGGGTTTAAAGGGGACACGTGAGAAGTAGGAGCCTGTGCGTGCTCAGAAGGTAGCACTCAGAATCTGAGAGTCCTCATTTTTTCCATCTGGCCTTTCAGAAAATATGTACTATGGGAGTCACATTTTATGCTGAGCATGTGTTTTAAAGTCAGTGTGAACATCGTGTGGTAAAAAAATCACTCTCGGAAATCCCTGAAATCTCCCATAAAGTGCAATTCTCTTCCAGTTCTCAGGAAGCCTGGCATGGCTAGCTCTTCCTGGGCTTTAACACAAGGGCACAGATTGCTGCTGCTTCATTGAGTCTCCTGGTGGTTTTGCTTGCACGGGGAGGCTGTGTGCTCGACGGACACGTGCCCAGAAGGACATTCGGTGCAGCCAGATGCTCCAAACTACAAGAAACACGGGGGAATGCAGCCTAACGCAGGGAACAGTGTCATGCTCACCCTGGGACATACACATGTCCAGGAATGGAATGGAGAGGAAAGGGTTGACACACTATTTAAATTGTTCTCTTTTGCACTTGCTCAATTCTCTTTTTGGCTGAGTGAGTATAGTTGAATTTGTCTCATTAAAGGCATGTCATGCAACTCTGCATGTGTCACCAGACGCAGTCCCAGGCACCTTTAAGTCTCACTCTAGCCCTGGGGACGAAGTAGCTGCGCAGAAGGCAGAAAAACCACAGTGAACACTGGTGCTAGAGCGGACCCTTTGGTTCTAGGGCAGAAAACCGAGAGCAAATCACCAATTTGGGAGCTTTGTACCAGGTGACAAGTCAGGGGAACACAGTGGTTTCCAGTCCGATGATTTTCTGTCTCTCTCTCTTTCTCTCTCTCAACAGGCTGGTCCATTCAGGTCCAGGCAAAGGATCGCCCCAGGCTGGTGTGGATCTGTCCTTCGCGACACGAACGGGCACCAGGCAGGGGATTGAAACGCACCTGTTCAGGGCCGAGACCAGCAGGGACCTCTCCCACTGGACGAGGAGCATCGTGCAGGGCTGCCACAACTCGGCGGAACTGGTCACCGAAGTCACTACTGGTGAGCACCCCGGGCTCTCCAGAACCAGCACACCCTCTACTCCATCCCAGCCTCAGTGTGGTTTCCAGTATTGGCCTTCTGGGCTGTTTGGAATTCCAGAAGTGAACTCAGATTCTTCCAAATTAGGGCACTGTATGCCCTACTCAAATGTAAGCCTTTTCCCATCTCCATTCCAGAAAAGTTGGTAATTCAGGGAGTCAGATGTCGTTTTCCTGACTGTGACCCCAGGGTGGCTTGCTGCAGGTACGAGCTTTGAGGCACCAACCAGCAGGTTCTTGTTACAAACATAGAGATGGACCCTGGGTAATTATCACAGAATAAAATTCTTGGAAATAATAATTTTGGTAGCTCACGGAGTTGATCCAGAAACTGGGGCACGGGTTTGTGAAAAAGAGCAGGAAACAGAGGCATCCGGGTGGGGGGGTGGGGGTTTCCAACAGCAAAGGGCAGAGCCTTGGGAAGAGCCACCGGGGCCACTGGTCTGAATGTTGAAGCCGAGGCAGGATGGAGGGACCACATGGTGAAGCACAGCCCCGTTCATGCAGAGCCCTAAGAAAGGACTAGTGAGTGCGGGAAGTGGGATTTACATGGATTATTTACGTGGGTTACATGTGTGCAGAAGGAAGAACCCTTCTATACTGTCCTGTTTATTGAGTGTACTCACGACGTGCCAGGCATTTCATATAATGTCGCTCCGTGTTTTCCACACTATGAGAAACAATCCTGCTGTGGGTCCAGAAGTCAATGAGTCGAGGCAAGACCAACATTTAAAAAATTAAATTAAATGGAATACACATATCAGTGTAAATATTGCTTAGATTTGTGGAACTTTGGATTCAGGGGTATGTGTGTGTGTCCCGGGTCGCAAATCATTGCCTTATCTTATCTAATCCTCACAATTCCCTTGCCAATCTGATTTTACCGAATCCGGAAGCAAACCCTTAAGGAAAGGTTAAGTAACTTGTCCAGGATCTCACAACTAATAAATGACAGAACTGATTTTAACGCTATGTTGTGTCTTTCTAAAGACCATTCTTCATTGACTCTAGTGTCTCCCGAGACATGGATCTCACTCCTGTACCACTGGTCAAAACCCAGCAATTCTGTTCAGGCTGCTGTGATAAATGATTTTCATGCCACTCTCCAAATCAGATGATTGATAGGTGATGGATAGATGACAGATATAAATGCATCTATAGGTAAATATATAGATAATTTAATTTTTTAATTGGGCAAAGGTAAAATTGGAGACTAGAAACTAATACGAATCTCAGCTAAAATGAATAAGCTAAGTATATACTGTAAAATCTTGTACATTGGGGCACCTGGGTGGCTCAGTCAGTCAAGCATCCAATTCTTGGTTTCGGCTCAGATCATGATCTTGAAATCATGGTCATGAAATCCAGCCCCGCATCGGGCTCCACGCTCAGCACAGAGTCTGCGTGAGGTTCTCTCTCCCTCTCCCTCTGGCCCTTCCCACCTCTCTAAAATAAATACATAAATCTTTAAAAAAATAAAATCTTGTACATTTGCTAAGGTGGATTCCATATGAACCCAGTGATTTTCAGCAGCCAGCACAATGTACCGTTAACAGTGTCCATGATGCTACTGCTCCTGGTTCTGAGATCTAAGATTGTTTCTGGTTCTGAGATCGAAGACCAGCCCCTCTTCCAGGTCTCCTTCCGTCACTCGCAAGGAGGCCATATGTGACAGAGTAGCTGGTATCCTGAACAACAGTCTTCCAGTAAATCCACCTTTAAGTCCCACAGGGTTGTTTCTTAGAATACTCTCTGCTCGGGCGCCTGGGTGGCTCAGTCGTTAAGCGTCTGCCTTCGGCTCAGGTCATGATCCCAGGGTCCTGGGATCGAGCCCCGCATTGGGCTCCCTGCTCCGCGGGAAGCCTGCTTCTCCCTCTGCCACTCCCCCTGCTCGTGTTCCCTCTCTCGCTGTGTCTCTCTCTGTCAAATAAATAAATAAAATCTTTAAAAAAAAAAAAAAGAATACTCTCTGCTCACTCTCTTCTATCATGTTTTCTTGCCTGTTCTTTCATTTCTCTCTGTCTCTGAGGAACCAGTACAAGGCAATAGCCACAGTGTGGGATTTAAGTCAGAAAGGCCTGAATTCAAATTCCAGTCCTATTTCTTTCTTTTTAAGATTTTATTTAATTATTCATGAGAAACAGAGAGAGAGAGAGGCAGAGGCAGAGGGAGAGGAAGAAGCAGGCTCCCCACTGAGCAGGGAGCCGGTTGCGGGGCTCGATCCCGGGACCCTGAGATCATGACCTGAGCCGAAGGCAGTCGCTTAACCGACTGAGCCACCCAGGCGCCCCTCCTATTTCTTCCTTAATCTCTTACTCTTACTTGCATCTCTTGTTTTCTTCATCTGTAAAAAAGAAGGAAATAATAGTACCCACCTCATAGAGTTGTCAAGAATGAAGAGAAATAGTCCATGTAAAGCTCCTAGCACGGTGCTTGACACATAAGTAAGCACTCACTACATGTTCGTATTAGTTGTTACTCTTGGCATTATTTCCCCAGACCTGTGCTGTCCAGTATGCTAGCTTCTGGTCCTGTGTGGCTATTTAAGTGTAATGTAATGAAAATTAAATGAATTCCTCAGTCACACGAGCCACATTTCCAGGGCTCAGTCACCACGTGTGCCTACCTAATGGCTACCATGTTGGATGGTGCAAACCTAGAACATTTCCCTCACAGCACAGCATCCTCTTATACAGCTCTGCTCTAGAGGAACAGATTTCCCACAAGACATCTTAGATACAGCGTTTCCAAACTTCAGCCACGCTGAAAACAACAATAGAAGTAAAGTTCTTTTTGTTTTACCCCTAAAAGCCCCAGATTGCTGACCTCCACCCCCAGAGATTGTGATTTAGCCGTTTGGGGTTGGGGTCAAGAATTTGTACCTGATAACGTCCCATTTGGTGTGGATGCTGCTGGGCCATGGAGCCCTCTGGGAGCAGCACTGCACCAGGGAGCAACCTCCCCCAGGAGCAACTCCCACCCAGGAGTAGTTGAAAAGATGGCACACACATTAGTGTGTGCTGGGGTTTCTCCACATTTCCTTTGCTCATGCAAACATGAAAAACCAGATGTTTTGTAGAATGTCTGCGGCAGCAACTCCAACAAAATCAGTGTCTTTTTGTAATTACCCTGAAACGGATTGGTGCCCCCCACCATTTCCCATCATTGCTGGAAACATTTGAGAGTGTCACCGAAGCTCTTATTTTTTTTTTTTATAAGTTTTTTTTTTTTTAAAGATTTTATTTATTTGAGAGAGAGAGAATGAGAGACAGAGAGCACGAGAGGGAAGAGGGCAGAGGGAGAAGCAGACCCCCTGCTGAGCAGGGAGCCCGATGCGGGACTCGATCCCGGGACTCCAGGATCGTGACCTGAGCCGAAGGCAGTCGCTTAACCAACTGAGCCACCCAGGCGCCCCGAAGCTCTTATTTTTATGCTGAGTCTGTATGGCAAGAAAAACTAGAGTGTTGGACCTGAGAGTTGGAAAACCAGAAAACTAGACTTAATGAACTGATATGTGTAAGTGCTGGAGAAGTTCACGCTCCTTGCAACAAATTCAGGAGTGTTCTAGGAAAGAATGGAGAAGGCCAAGGGGACTTGGTTTAGTTTACATTTCACAGATTTTGTAAAATCTTTCTTTCTCAATAAGCTGAACTCTACTTGGATAGGAAAGCCATGGGGCTGTTGGTAGACCAGCCAAGGGAAATAACAAAGCACTGTGTGCACTGAGCTAGCCAGGTGGTGGGAGAGAAGAAATTCTGGAATGACCACAGGTGCAACCCAGTTACAGATTGAAAGATGCCTTCAGGGAGTTGGGGAACGGGGCTTATGTTTTAATCAGAGCTTCAATTAACTTGCTAATGTGTTCGATTGGTCCTGTGTGGATTGAGAACATCTTCAGATAATCAGTTCCATTATATAAAGACCGCGAACACCAGCGGAGGTCAACTAGAATTGAAAGTAACCACAATCAGTTGATTCTGAGTATCTGAGGGCATAGCTTTAAAGTTCAAATACAGAGGAAGAAAAAAGAAAAACATGGTTAGAGCTCATTTGCCCACTTGTTCTACAGAACAGAAGTAAAGAGTGTCAAAAATAAGGATTCAAGATGGGAAGCCATACCCACACCATGCCACTGTCTTTGGTCATCCCAGGACTGCGAGGATGGCAGCAGTCTGCGGACCTTCGGAGAAGATGAGATTTACGGAGGGCCTGTAGCTCAGAAGGACTCAGAGATCTATTAGAGAGTGTAGTGCACCTTGGGGAAGTACCAACCCGTAGTTACAAATTGAAAGATGCCTGTGGGAAGTTGGAGGAAGGGGTACACTTTTCACCAGAGCTTCAGTTAAAAGCCGCCTCATTCTGTGAGCAGATGGAGTCCCCTATTTCTTTCCCCCAAACCTTGAAGGCCCCCCGGCCGTACAGTTACTACTCTCTTTGCCAAGGTCCCTCTCCACATCCCTCTGTATCCTGACTGCCAGAGTATGAGAAAGATACATGGCACCGAGTGGAAAGAACTTGAATTTTGAATTCTAAGCCACCTCAGTTGTGACACATTTCACCTGTCTGAGCTTTGCTTTTTTTCACCTGTCACATTAAGCTTAGGTCCTGCTTCAGAAGTTTGGGGCAAGGTGAAGTTCAGTTTGGCTTATAAAGCCGAGCTGAGCTAAGGATGGTACCGCGCAGTCAAAATGCCCTGACTCTTACTCTTTCCAAACCCCATCCCCAGCCAGGAAAATGTCCTGGTTTCCCTAAAGAGCTTTCAGATGTCTGTGAAGGTCTGAGCCAATTTACTTGCCGGGTTCTGTTAAATGTGGTGTTCTGTGAGGCAAAAAATCCAATCTGATACTTAATAACCTTTTTCAGAACTCTTTGATCAAAGGTTTAAACCTTCACAAGTCTTCCTAAATAGGAGCTAGGATTCTGGGGCAGTCCCCCGTCCAGCTCATACGCTTCGAGTACTGATCCGTTTTCCTAAATGCAGTGAGGACCACACATAAAAGCTGTCCTGATCAAGAGGTTTTAGTTTTGTTTCTTTGGATCAGAGAGTCCCTTGTGACCACCCCCTGAGCGGTTCCTGAGTGTCACACTGGGCAGAGACGGGGAACAGCCTTCTCCATGGAAGGAGCCACCTCTGAGATCTCTCTGCAACCCAGCTTCCCCAGGACCCACAATCATTAGATCGCTTGGGAAAGTTTTAAAACACTCATTTCTATTTATAAAATGAGCTTCGTTTGACTTTTTAAAAATTAAAAATGGGATTATCTTTAAGTGACTTACTCCCGACTTCTTAGGTATGTTACACTTGTTAGTATTGGTAATGGAATGGAGGAATGCTCACTCCGTTCCCCAGGTGGTGGGCATGGCAATGGGGTGCGTGTGTGCGTGCGTGCGTGTGTGTGATGACGAGGACAACTCAGAGCTAGCTTACCCTCAGTCAAATGTCAGTTTTTTTCCCCCGACCCCCGAGACAAGGCCAGTGGAAGGCAAGTACGCCCATCTGCCTATGTGCTGTCAGAGGGTCAGATGAGGGCTGGAGGCCAGATAAAATTCAGTAAATCCCGGCAAAAGGAATTCTTTCAGCTTATCTCCCTTGGTTTCATGGGACAAGTTAAATTACAACATCAAAATCAGTCCAAGGAGAATATTTTCATGAGCAACGACTAGTTTTCAACTTGAGAAGAAATGTGTGGCTGGCCCTGGGACTGAGGAGGCTTGCAAGGTAAGTGCCTGGGAGAATGGACGAACTTGCTGTTGATACCGCACTCTCTCCTCTCCCCTCAGCTTGCACCTACAAAAACCAGGAGTGCCGCCTGACCGTGCATTATGAGAATGGATTTTCTATTACCACTGAACCACAGGAGGGTGCCTTTCCCAAGACAATCATGCAGTCTCCCTATGAAAAGCTGAAAATGTCTTCAGATGATGGAATCAGGATGCTGTATTTAGATTTTGGAGGCAAAGATGGAGAGATTGTAAGTGTATTTCTTTTTTGTAATTTTTTTTTAAAGAATTTTATTTATTTATTTGACAGAGAGAGACACAGCGAGAGAGGGAACGCAAGCAGGGGGAGTGGGAGAGGGAGAAGCAGGCCTCCCGCTGAGCAGGGAGCCCGATGTGGGGCTCGATCCCAGGACCCTGAGATCATGACCTGAGCCGAAGGCAGACGCTTAACGACTGAGCCACCCAGGTGCCCCTCTAAGTGTATTTCTGTGGACAGCGTGATTTCATATATTTTTCATGGGGCAACACATCTGTGAGGGCTCGCAGTTCAAATATAGAATATATATCAACTATATAAAGCTCAGATATTCAGAATCAACTGATTGTGGTTACTTTCAATTCTAGTTGACCTCAGCTGGTGTTCCTGTAGAATAAGTGGGCAAATGAGCTCTAACCATGTTTTTCTTTTTTCTTCCTCTCTATTTGAACTTCGAAGCTCGTATAGTTATTGATACTCTCAGGAAGACCTAGCATCTCATTTAAGCCGTCAAATGCCGAACTTTTAAGAGGACCTTGATTCGGTAATAACTAGGCTCTCTTTAGGTCCTTCCTAAGTCACTAGGTTAGTCAACAAATATCCATTGACTTCCGCTTGATAACAGGGATGGGGAATAGATAAAATGCAGAGGTAAAGCTCAATTTTAAAGCTCCAGTAATTTTGGCGAAGCTTCTGGCCTTCCTCCATCCCTCCCTTCGCCTCCAGCCCGTTCAGCGATTTCTCCCGTGGGACTGGACTGGTACTTCTCTGGAAACCATTCAGGGGGACTGAGCAGGAGCTGACCGAAGGGGAGAGCTGAGATCACACTTGAGAGCATAAGGCCTTCATGTCCCAGTCGGAGCACGGCTGTTGTGGATGCCGCTACACCAGCGTTGTTGTTTGCGTGTTGCAATGAGTTAAGTTCAGCCTGAAGCAGCAGTTTGGAAACAAACAAGTGATTTGAATGAAAGTCCATTTTACTAAGAACACTTATAGTTCAGTTGCTACTCTATCAATCATTCCACTGAGTGCTCTGTCCTAAAGGTGACTGACTGCTCCCTAGCCAAAAAAAAAAAAACAAAAACAAAAAAACCACAAAAAACAAAAACAAACCAAAACCCAAAAGACAAAAGGCTCTTAGCCTTAGCCTTAGCTTGAAAAATCAAGGCTATTTTTGCCTGTGAGGAAAATCACTTATGTCTAAATTTCAGCCTTTCTGAAGCCCGTAATTACAACCTGACTTGGAAGATGTATGCAGGACTGAGTTTTGCTGCCAGTCCATTCGGCTGAGAAGTGCAAATTCACGCACGGCTTCCCCAGGCCTAGTTCTGCAACCCCAGGAGGCAGGCACCACCAGGCCTTTCTTCTCCCTTCCTGGCTAAGGGAGCAGACATGGGCTGTAGGAAATGGAACAAATTGAGGGTCAAGAGACCCATGTTTTCTTTCTGTGTCTCTAACTAACTCACCAGTTGTCTTGGGCAAATCCTTTATGTCTCTGGATCTGAGTCTCTCTGTCCGTAAAATACAGTGACTGAAGTAGGTTCCTTCCAAAAGTCGCTTTCTGTGTTAGTGAGACTGAATACTGTGGTTCCATCTTGACTCTGGCCATACCTCCTCTCCCCTGTAAGATCTGTGATCTCAGAAAGTTTTAGAACTTCTTCAAATCTTAGTTTTCCGTATAAAACACGCAGATAATGGCAATAAGCTCACAGGGGTTTTGTGAGACTTAAATAAGACGGTGTAGAGGAAATATTTAGCACAGTGCCTGATTCATGATAAATACAACCCTAACTTTGCTAGATGTTATTATACATCCAGGTGGTTGCTCCCCAACAGTGTCATCAGCAGAAGAGAATTGGGAACAACTCCTCCAGTTTTCCTGACTTAGGTGATAAAAATTCCACCTTACTCTTACTCTCTGGTCATGTGCTGGGCCACACGTAGGAACACGCTGAGAAGGGTAAGACTTTAGCAGGGGCCTTAACAGGCGATGCCCATGCTTACAGCAATCCAAGGGCATAGGACAGTGGGGACACAGCTGCTTAGCAGCATGGCTTCCCCATTCTGAGTTTTCACACACAGTATCTCATTTAATACTCTAGTTACCCTGTGAATTTGGGAGGACTGGGGAAAATTTTAAGTGACTTGTCCAAGATTATATATCTCAGAAGTGTTTTTTAAAAAAAAGTATTAAAACCGGGGCTCAAACTGAACCTTCAGATGTGAAATTTAGTATTGCTTCAAGCTGTACCTAACCCGACATAAATAATATCACTATTGTGATACCAAAAACAAATGGTTTTGACAGTCAAAAAAGGCAACATCAATATTTATGGTACTGGTATATATAAATTTCACAGAACCTATTTCGGAAACAAAGATAAGTGTAAGAAATAAGTTCAGGGTTATTTTTCTAAATCTCATTGAGGGGCAAGGAAAGAGGGCACGTACTGCATGGAGCACTGGGTGTTATATGCAAACAATGAATCATGGAACACTACATCAAAAACTAATGATGTCATGTATGGTGATTAACATAACATAATAATAAAAAAAAATTTGCTTCTACAAAAAAACCCCACAAAAAACAAAAACCATAATTGCTCCAGTTAAAAGCAGGAAGTGCGCAGATCCGTTTGATGTGTAAATCGCTCTTCTGCATCAAGCATCAATTTAAAATCGCTCACGCTCTCTTCTTTTGAAATTTCAGCAACTGGACCTTCATTCCTGCCCCAAGCCGATTGTTTTCATCATTCACTCCTTCCTGTCGGCGAAGATCACAAGACTGGGCTTGGTGGCCTGAACAGAGCAGAGGGGTGACTTGCCTTAGAGAAAAGGAGGGCTGGTGACATGGGACACCAAGAGCGCACACCACTTGGCTTGCCACAGTCAGCTTTGGATCCCCAAGTCCTCTCACCTGCCCCAGACTTCTCTGACAGCTTCACTGATGACAAGGGGGGCTCCCAAGAAAACACCATGAGGAATATCAGAAAGAAAACGGGCTTTTTAGAATAGTAGAAGGGTAAAGAGGTGAGGGCAAATGGAAATAAATACACAGCCTAGCTTTGAAATAATGACAAGCAAGGACATCACGAACATGAGAACAGCACGTGCAGATCTTAATCATACCAGTTTCTAGGCAACTGGTTCACCCAGGTAAGCAAGAGCTGAATAGTTGAGGAATGGACATTTTCACCTCTCTCGCCCCCTGTAACAATGATCCCTTGTTTTATTGTGATTTATTGCCTACTTCTAATTGAGTTGACTTCTGCTGGTAAGGAAAGAGAAGTGCTTCAAATGGAAACCCACCTTTTATTTTAAGTATGAAGCAGCTGTAATTCTTTTCTTAATGAATTATCTTTCAATGATGTAGAGTGATCCTGAAGTATTCTCATTAGCATATGCTGAGCAGGAATTAAATAAAGCATCAGATACTGATCTGAGCTGGAAGCTGGTGGAATCTGAGCCAAAGTAGACTGTTTATATTGCAAAGCTTCACGGTGCAGAAGAGTGGTGTGCTTGAAAGACGATTAATCTGGGGACTGCACTCACACCAAGGTGTGCTATCTTAGAGCCAAGACTGATAGCTTTACTTACAGAAAGCAAATTATGGATATTTTTTTTAAAAGATTGTCATTTGAGATGTATATGTAACATATATATCTCATATATATAACATATATATAAACAACTCACATGTGGTTAACTAATTGTCCCCATTCCGTGGTTTTCAGTGGAAGTACTGAGCAATTCATTGACCCTTGTTTCTGCCTTGCTTGTATGCATGCATTTTCAAACCAGTCCTAGAGCAGCCTCATATAATTCTGACAGTATCCACAGCTCTTAGGCATTCCAGGGAAATAATATAACGACCTGATTATTTTTCTACAAGAATATTTTTAGACAACATAGAGTGTATTACTGATTTAACGCTTTTATTTTTACCTTTCAATACAAATTCACCAAAAAGACACCTATATTATTTGATTTTGGAGTCACCTTCCTGGAACCTTAAAAATTAGCTCTAGAGTTTCTGTAAGCATTTGCAACTCTTCTTTCCCCTGTAGTTTATATAAACAAATGCTCTGGATTTGATCTGTGTGTTTTTTTCAGAATTGTCCTTCAGCAAATACCTATGCAAAGAGCTTTTAAAAGTGAAACTGTTTTAAAGGAATGTAAATTTGCCCACTGAGACACATATGTTTATTGAGTTACAAAGCAGCGTCCAAAGTATGTATCATGTAACACTAGTTCCAAAGGGCATTGACTGAGAGGTGTTTTGGGGAGGGGGTGGTGGTGAGAATGAGGTTTGATGATCAAAAATGTGTTAAATATGGAGGTAAGAAACAGATTTCATGATCGTGGGCCTCCTCAAAGACTTTAATGTACACATTGTAATTCTTCAAGGGGGGATCCTGTGTACTTACAGAGCTCCTTTCTGACAGAGCATTTTGTGAAGCAAGTGTTTTAAAAAAACAAAAACAGGGTGTCTGGCTGGCTCGGTCGGTAGAGCATGTGACTCTTGATCTCAGGAGCCTCGGGTTCAAGCCCCATGTTGGGTGTAGAGATTACAATAAAATAAATAAAATAAAATAAAATAAAATAAAATAAAAAAACACTTCGGGAAACACAGCTTTAGGTCACTGATTTTTTTTTTTTTTTTTTGGTTTCCCATTTTAAAATGCTGAAGAGTGAAGTCCCACCCTGAATATTATAGGAAAGCTTTGATGCATTTATAAATTATACTGCACTCTTTCATTGCATATTTTCGAAGGCACTGGAATGTTGTTATGCAAGAGAATTATGCATTGTAAATAACATTAAAATACATATATTAATGCCAATAGTTCAATTCAACAATATGTAATTTAAGGTGCTCAGTACTACATGAAGTATGAGTTACTTATAATTAAATTGCAAAGATCCTATTCTATATTTATAGAAAAGTTAAAATGATAATTACAAGTATTTCTTCATCACTTATGTTTTAGACTGATTAATAAATGGGTGGGGGTCAACAAATTACATTCTCTGCATTTATAAAAACTTAATTTAAATATTTATATTTTAGAAAAAATAATTTGAATAAATTAATGCATTTTCTGAATTAAAACGTATTAGCAAGAAGTAGACAGTTTTACTAAGAGAATTGTGTATATGAATCCTTGTTTTTTCCTTCAAAGTTAAGTGTATCATATCAGAGTGGCTATGATGAATCAATTTCAAATACTCATTTTTCCTTGTTCTGAATTGAGGAAATTACATAATGATTTTACACTGTAGGTTTTAATCTTGTCTTCATGTGTGTTATGAATGTTGTGAATGACACACAGACGTCTGGATCATGCCTGGGTACAGTCAGTGAATCAACTGATTCATTTTGGGGAATTTGTTTTTGTCCAGTCTGCTCTGTGCTTAATCCATTTCTTATTTGAATCAATGAATTATTAAATTCACGTTTGTCCCTTTAAGGCCAAATCAATACAAATGGCTGATGTTTCATCTGTACTTAGTGGCAAGCCACCCATTCGCTGGTAGATGAGGTGAGCCTTAAGCATCCCAGGGATTTAAAGAAGGCCAATAGGAATACAGTTAGCAATCTCTTTTCTGACTTGAACTAAGTGGAAAAACCATCAACCTCTTAAAAACACCCAGGTAGAGGCGTTTAATTAATTCTTTCGGTTGATGTAGTTAAAATGCTGAACAATGCATTCGCCTGAAATGAACGAGCAGAGCCTTTCTTTTACAAATATTAGGGATTCCATCTTGAGGGGATTGGAGTGGACTGGGGTGAGGAAGTAATATTTGAATGTACGTTGAGTTAAAAAAAAATGTGCCTAGGGGCGCCTGGGTGGCTCCGTCGTTAAGCATCTGCCTTCGGCTCAGGTCATGATCCCGGGGTCCTGGGATCGAGCCCCGCATCGGGTTCCCTGCTCGGCAGGAAGCCTGCTTCTCCCTCCCCCACTCCCCCTGCTTGTGTTCCCTCTCTCGCTGTGTCTCTCTCTGTCAAATAAATAAATAAAATCTTAAAAAAAAAAAGTGCCTATGTTTATAGCACCATAGATCTCATGTATGTGATATTAAATCAATATTCACCTCTGAGTTTGGTGGACTGGCTGGTGGTTTCATGACAGCCACAGAGGGAGTGTGAAGACACCACTTGCTATTCTCTTCCTCCAGGACCGGCTCTGGAAGGTGCTAATGGGTAAAGGGGATGCCACTAGAAAATTTGGTGTGTGTGGGGGGGGGCGTTGCGTATAATTTCAGGTCTGCATCTGGGGCTTAGGGATCTTGGCTCTCATTTTTAACTAAATTTTCATGGGATTTGACCTGTACACCAAGCTCCAAATACTCAAGTTCTCTGTAGTACTACAACTTGGTTTGTGTTCCAGTGGCTTATAATTAATGTCAGTCTATGGCTGAGAAGTCTTTTTACTATTTGAAAATTGGGATTACATTTAGATCTGTAGAATCTCACTTTTGAAGAGACTTCAGAGGTCATCAACCCATTAGTGCTCAAAGTTTATTTATAATTTTAGCAATACTACCTTAGGATCTTAGGGTATATGATTTGCTAGTAACATAGCAACACAGTATATACATAAAAATGAATATACACCAATTTAATGTTTAAAAAATTCTGTACCACCTAGAGTCATCCCGCATACATTTGGGGAAATGCCGACCTTGTATGTGTTTCCACTGAACTCAGGCACCTCTTCCTGAGCATCCCTTGTAAGTTGTTCATTCTGCCTGAAATCAAAAGTTTTCCGCGATGGGGTGGGAGCTCCTTCTCTCCCAAGGCAGGTCCTTCCACTGCTGGATGGTGGGAGTTGTTGCAAAGTTCTGATATTAGAGCCCAAACTTAGATCTGCCTTTCAGTCATGACCCTGTTCTACCCTAGAAAACACTGGAAGTCCGATCTCTTTTCCACATGAATGTCCTATAGAATAAAAAGGCCTATCAAGGCTGGGGGCTATTAGGAGATAGAAAATGATCTGAAAATGGCTTTAAATAGGACACCTAAAATTCCTTCTTTTTATCTTTAAAGAACCAATTGGCCAAGATTGAAACTCTCCGTAATACCTAGTGGTGGAGAGTGATGGGAAAACCGGCATTTACTTACACAGCCATGGGTAGGTATACATTTGGCAATAATTGGGAGGGTAATCTGGCAATATCTATAAAAATTTTAAAATACATGTACATGTTGACTCTAAGAATTTATCCTAGAGATAAAAGTGCACAAAGACTAACATATATGAGGATCATGTTGGCAGCATTAGTTGCAACAAGAAGCTAAAAAGGTCAATAAGACCATCAATAGCTAAATAAATCCCAGCACACAGACGCACTAGTTCTGCAATGTCACCATGATCCATCTCTAAGTACTACTGTGGACAAAGTTCTTAAATGCAACTTCTGCAAAATGCAGATAAAAACACAGATACATTAGATATGTATTCCACGTGTTGTTTAAAAAGTAGTTCCAGGAAGAGCAGCACCTGCCAGGGCATTTTGGAAATCTGGGCTAGCGTTGTTTTGCCACCACTGTGCTGGGGGAGTGGGGGCACACTTAGTATTTACTCAACAAGAGCCACAGCTGCTAGACTTCCTGCAATGGGAGGACAGTCCCCAAATCCAATGGGACCGTTTCCCACACAACTGTTTTGTCCTCTGAGTTGGTCGTGCAGGTGAAACCCATAATTATCTGAGCCTAGACCCTGACTACATTTTACATATGAAAACATTTTTTGACTGATTCAATACATTCTGAATTTTCTAGGTATACAACTACCACATATATGGAAGGAAGACTGTGTTTTTGGTTTTCGGGGCATTTTATTAAACATTTTATCAAAGCAAGTTTCCCGTAGCCAGTGTGTATATGGGACTCGAGTCGTCGAAACAGAACCGGACTACTTTTATATGTGCCTCATTCACACTGAATCGGAGTTATTTTATCTTTTAGTGTGGTTGTACCCCAGCATCTCCAAATTGAAGCACATATTATTTTATTATCACTATTTTCCTTTTCTAAAACTTCTTTACCTTACAGTTAGGAAATAGCAATTTTAAAAAATCCTGAGCGTGCGTAGGCTGTTACTGCTGGCCACTGTCTGGTGTCCGAGACGCTCGGCTGCTGTCCCACCCTGAGGCCCCATCACAGCCGGCTCTGCTTGACCTGAGTGTTTCTGCCACTGAGGGCCAACCCGCCGTTGCTCAGAAACACTGCCCCTCCAACCCCCGTGTCCACTGGGTACCACCACCAGGCGGCCAGGCTAAGGAGATGCATACTTGAATCTCTGGGTTTTGCCATCAATTCCAGATTTGGATGAAAAGCCACACACCGTAGGGCATAAGAACTGGTGTCCTGAGCAGCCACGAACGACCTGAGCAGTCTAGAACTATACAGGATTTAAGGCTTTGTGGGGCCCAACAGGAGATAATAGGAAGGAGCCAAGCAGGAAAATAACTCTCTTCTTCCTTCTTCTTGTGTACTTCCCTGAGACATAGTTTCAGCATACACCATGTATCCTGAGACACTCCCTGTGACTGAGAACACACCTACTGGGGGACTGGCTGTGTTTCTTTGGACCTCAGGAAGCAGTGGCCAGTGAGTAATGGATCACTTGCTTTGCTTGCCTGCCGTCCCCACCTCTTCTCCCTTTTCTTCTTCACTCTCGGGGCCCTGGAATTGGACATTCCACATACAGTGTCAGCACCTAGTCATACCCTACACAAAAAATCACTCCAAATGGATCACAGACCTAAATATACAAGATAAAACTATAAAGTGAAAAGATAACCCACAGAACGGGAGAAAATATAAGTCATATTATCTGATAAGGGACTAGAATCCAGAATATATAAAGACCTCTGACAATTCAACAACAAAAAGACAAATAATCCAACTAAAAATGGTCAAAGGAATTGAGTGGACAGTTCTCCAAAGAAGATGTGTAAATGGCCAACAGGCACATGAAAAGATGCTCAACATTAGTAGTTACCCGGAAAATGCAAATCAAAACCACAATGAGATACCACCTCACACTTCATATCATTTGCCAAAAAGACAAATAATTACAAGTATTAGAAAGGATGTTGAGAATTTGGAACCCTAATACATTAATGGCCAGAGGAAATATCAGACGGTACAGCTAGTTGTTTTGGAAAATGGTGAAAACAAAA